ATATATATATATATATATATATATATATATATATATATATATATATATATATATATATACACGAAAAATTAAGTCAACTCATCATGTTTCCGAATGTATTTCTATTTATTATATTTCCTATGATTCAACGTGATGTTACCTCGAGGCTTAGACCTTCATTCTGAGCACTCTCTAATTGATAAAAGAGAGATCAGAATAAGGATCTTAATATGTCATTAATTCACCGTTCGTGCACTTTTCCAATAAACTTCGCGATAAAAGTATAGTACATGTTTTACATTTCTTCCGCAAACACGATTCAAATAATTATACGTTAATAGTTATACATCCAGAATAACGCAATCCAAGGGCATTTAATGTGTGAGAGATTCTCGCGCGATTTTATGTGAAAATTCGTTGCCATCGTTGCCATGTTTCTTTTGTCCCTTTTTATCGCTACGTACTGTAAAACTATATATACGCTGTACAAACATGAATGTGAAAAACTCGATACATTAATACTATTCCTAACAAACACTGGCGTAAAAAGTGCACTCCTTTTTATAACATTTGTATCTGATACTTGAGAAATATTGCAAATGCAACGACTCGATAGAAGAACGTACCGCATAAATAGAGATGTTAGAATTTTTTTCATATAACAAAAAATAAAAACCGAATCTGTTTAGATTAGTAAAATTTTCTGGTTCTCGTTTTACCATTGTCTATAACTAATAATATAATTCGAAGTTTTGATAATTATAGTAAAAATAATTATATCTTTCAATACAACAATAATACGAAACTTTTAAAAATTGATAAAACTTTAAATTAGTACACTTTATACATGTTGCTTCTTTTACATAATTTGTTCAGTAATTATTTCTTGCGAATCGTCAGATTTTATAAATAGAAAGAACGATAGATAGACGAAGGTAATATGTATAAGTACACATATTTGATCGCTATTTAAATATGTATATATAAATATGTATATGTTATATAATCCGTCAGTATTTAATTTGGAAGAATCACGTTAACTCTCCTTCACAGAGAAGCCGATTTTCGCAAATTTAATTCATATGAGTTATTATGACATAAAAGTAGCAAACTGCAACTAGCTTTGTGAAATGAATAACACAACATCGTTACGTGTCTTCTATCTATCGGTCGATATGCGGTTTGGTAACAGCTTTCCATTCAACTCATTCCAGATATTCTCATTACTGCACCGATTGGAAGAAAGCATCACTCATGATCGGTACCAGCTTGCCATTCACTAGTACTTGTGGTCCAGTGTAGTAACGCCATAACAAGCTGCTACCTCTCTTTAATTGGTTGTTGGCTGATAGATGGGACCAACAATGCAGCCAGTCTTTGTAGATCGGCATCTGCGGCGGCATACCTGCTACTAATCTAATAACAAATTTTCATGGAATTAAATAAAAAATTTTCATAGAATTGAATTAAAAATTCAAAAAATCATTGTCCCCAAATCGATTTTCAAATATTAATCTTTCCACGAAATATGCATTCAAGATAATGTTATTTTTATATACAGTTTCTAATATTTAATTTTACGATAAATAAATAAATAAACGTAAAAATTGTCAATCTCAATAAAAGTAATTAATATCAGATTTTGCTTACCCGCAATTATTTATTGCCATGCAATGCGAGACTACCAAAAACGGATACGTGACGGTCGTAGCCAGGAACTGCAAATATTTTCCTTTAATTAATCTAATCCTAATACGTAAAGCACAATCACATTTAAGAGAAGTACGTTTACTGATAACGTAGACATCTATAAATTATTAGTAATAGTTTTGAAGCATATCGCATAAATATGCATCAATGCATTTCGTTAAGTGTATGATTTGCTTACTTTCATAGTTGATGCGGTGTACGCTTTCATTGCTTGTTCCTGAACGACGTAATTGTTTAGGATGTACGTTGAGGTACTAGCTAATACCAAAACTGAGACATTTGCTATGAGACGTGGTACCAATCCTGCGTAGTATCCCATAAAACCATTCTCCCTGTAGATCTCCACAAACGAGTTCAATACACCACTGTTGTGAGAATAGTGTGATGAGTAAATTTTGTCGTAACGAACGAATAAACTGAAGCGGTCGGAGAGGAAAAAATAAATGTTCAAAAATTGAGCAGCTAAACTGTCATTAAACTCTATAAACAAAAAGAACATATATACCAATCCTTAATTAACGTAAGATTTTGCTCGTAGTTTGACTGTTAAAAAAAGAAAACTTTATATATTTTAAGAATATTTCTAAACCTTATAGAATATCAAATTGTGATGCGTCAATTGTGATGTGTTTTAAACCAAAAAAATTAACTTTTCTCTTTCAGATATTGCAAACTTGTATCATAATATAGATCATAATATAGATCTGTTCACACTATATACCTATACTTCATTTCTCCACCTACAAATTGCGCCATCATCCTTAACGAAATGACTTCTAGAGGATGACTAACCACAATCGCAACTATTCTACTAATTGTGTCCCTCGTAAGCTCACGTATACATCTCCAACGTCTGTAAGTGTGAAAAATAATACAATTTATTTTAATTTTCCATTTTTTGTTTGGTACATATATACCTCACACTTTCGTCCTCCTCGTCCTCATCCTCGTTTTGCACCACATCCAACTGCAGATACTCTGCAGTCTTTTGAGATGCTATTGTACTGACTGTATAGGAGCACAGCTTTGGCACCAAACCTTTGTAACAACCAGTGAAACCATCCACTTTTTTTATATGTTTAACTAAAAAATAACAATGAATATGAAATATATATAAATGCTAGAAAAATAATATAATATAAAATAATTAAAGTAAAAAAGATCTAATCTAATTAAAGTAATAATCTAATCTAATCTCTGATCTGATCTAATTAAAACTTTTATTTTATTTTATTATCTTTTATTATCTTATTGTATGTGTAGAGCCTCTCTGATTTCATGCAGGTTTTAAATATAACTTAATGTAAACAGTTACATAATATAATGAAAATAAACTGAAATGAATGTTAAACTTACCATATGCAAAAATATTAGGCAATTTTAATGCTGGTTTCCCAAATAAAGTTACAGTTTGTTTTGGTGGAATAGGCTCATGTCCAATCTGTCATTTTATAAGTTAGGTATATATACAATTCTTTCTTCAATCTTAAATTTTTTTGATAGACTATATATCATTCTCAACATATGAAAATCTTGGCTAATAAATATAATTTTACCTGTATCAGGACCTTGGCATATTCCATAGGATGAGAAACTACATTTATCAAAATACGGCTGGCTATATCTGACCACAGAACCTCTGGATCTTTCGGTGGTGACATGCTTGACAAATTTTTATATCTTCTTCTCCCTGAAACAAATTATTTAAATGAAATCAACAAGAATCTATTACTACCAAAGCCAAAATTGTTGATTCTTAAGAATAAGTTAGAACAGAATTTCATCATACCTTCAGAAAACATTTCTATAAGCTATCAAATTCTAGGAAATTAAAATAAATAACTGATAATTATGGGAACTCGCGACTAATTCCAATATCTGTAAAACACAAATCATAAATATGTTTAATTTTAACATAGGATTAGACTCGTCAGTGGAAGATAAATAAAGAATTAAAATTAACACAATATAACTATAGATGAAGAATATATTCTTGCTGAACGAATTCTCTTCACTTCGACTCACCTGTTTTTCGCGGAATTTTCGTGCCGTCTTTCGGACCAACGGAGAGTGGCCGTCGACGGCGGTTAGGAGTATCGAGAGTTAGTGCCACCGTGGTAAGATATTTCTATTTACCTTCAACCGTAGCATACGTCGATGTCCCTTTCTAGGACAGTAAATTACACACGAACTTTTTCAGAGTGTCCTCAAAGGTTGTCTCGCTTTGATGGAGCCGCCCGCAGAACACGCAGAACGACAACCGGGACCAAATAATACGTGCGAGAGATAATACACTGTCGAGTATTATCTTTCTGCTCTCGCACGCGCCGGCTCCATTGGAAACGCCGCCCTAATGATATCGCCCGTCCGCATCAACGAAAGTTACGTTTCATCAACGACTCATTTTTCTAACGATTCACGACCAGCGTGCTGACATCGGACTGGACTTTCCGAAATTATTTGTCATGTTGCGTGAACGGAAACAGGTATATGTTTTTACTCGGGATTTTAAGGCGATTTGAAACGACACTTCTCACGAGAAACTGACAAGAGGTACGGCAAGCGATTGGTGGCGCGAGTTGCGATCTCAATTTTTTCTCGTTGATTGTGACGTATGTTATATAATAATCGTGGCGATTCTAACCTTCGAGCCGGAACGGCCTGTCGAAGCAGCGCTTGAGATGTAAGAGGTTCTTCCTATTTCGTTCGTTTCGATTTTTTTCGCTTATTTGTCACGTCATTCGTACTCTTCGAGACGATCTTCATCGGATTCTCTGTTGTGATTGCGTTTCCTGTATAAATTCACCTGTCGTAGTACGATGATGCAAACTTAATTTCTCCCTGAGCTTTTGTAGCAAATTTTATAGCGAACTTAGCACGAAATCTTCAGCACAAATCTTTGATTTTTTCTATGGCCAGTAGTCTTTCATAAGCTTTTCCTGAATGTTTCAGTTTGATGGACAAACCCAAGCCCAACAAGGTTATTAGATTAATCAAGCGAAATTTCATCAGTGTGTTATTTCCCACTGTTGCGGTGGTCAGCATCTACGCAGATTTAAGACGTACAGCACGTTGGAAACGCCAACTTGCTGAGCAACAGAACATTGCTAAGCAACAGAACATTACTGAGCAATGAATATTAAACATATATATACGTCGCAGAAACATATTTGGAAGATATACTGGACGCTTATTATCCCAATAACATTCTATTATGTTGGCCATAAAATAGATCTGATGGAGACAGAAAGGATGTCAATGTTCCGGGATAAGTCGGCTCTGTATGGCAGGGAACTGAAACCTGGAGAACCGCCTTCTTGGCCTTACTGATTCCTCATTATTTGCTGTTAAACAAATTACAGAACCAGTTAGTGTGAGTTAACAAATAAACCATGCTCTTCAAAATATAAATCATAGAAATCATGAGTGTAAATTCTTCTGACTAATATATGTGTAGATTAAGTAACAATACAATATGTTTATTTGTATATATATATGCAAAGTCCATATCTCTCTTTATCTCTTATTGGCAATAACGTCTTATGTGTTGTACTTTGATTACAATGAAAATATAAGGAATCACAAAGTCTAATATGATATTATGAGACTGAGAGTGAACACATAATTGCTATTTCTTTAAATTAGCAAATTTGGTATGCGTATCAAGTTTATGACTATATCTCCTGATTAATATTTAATACTTCCAATGTTATTCATTTATTTCTATCTACATGCTTTCAATGTCACTTGTTTATATCTATCAGGATCTTTATAGGAAATGTTGAAAGCATGAGTAATTGCACTTATAATTATAATATTACACTTGATCTATTGTTCAATGTTATACTAAAACTATTGCAAGTTTCCACATGAATTTTTGTTTGTCCTCTGAATATACTTGACAACAAGGTATCGATTATAAGATCGATTGTGTATTGACACAACGTGATAAAAACGACAAAGGTGAGCAAATTCACTAGGTGTTGACCCCAATGAAATTTTAAATCATCTAATAAATTCGTTCACTTTTGTAATTTTTACCTAGTTGTGTGATACACAATTGTCTGTGATACTCATGTATCTTTTCTTTTAGTGTGAAATCATGAAAAATGAAGTTTTACATAAAAATTTTCATATTTCTATTGTACGAGAAGTTACGTAATTGCTAAAGTCATCGAATTCATATGAAACTTTTTATCTTTCAAGTTTCCACTTTTATGAAAAAAGTTACATGATCATTATTTCAGACTAATCCTTAAGTCGCCGAATCTTTAGTTTTTTTAGAAAGCAATGTACAGTAGTAAAGCAACGAGTCAACGGAACATTGTGAATATCTTGTTCTTGGCCTTCTTCGAGCTTTTCGTTCTCTGCGTCGCGACGTTATTGCATTGAAAGTTCTCTTTATTCTCGAGCGATTCTTTGGTCGCTAGATTGTACGCTTGCCGTTTCTTCTGCAACCACTCATTCGTCTTCTCGTTCCACGAGATCGGTCTGTCCTTTTGGCGTCCTTCGGGTGCTTTTCTATTAGTCGCCAAGTCGAGGTAAGAACATTTCTCTTCATTGGCAGGATTGCGTTCTGGTTTCGGCACGGCCGTTGGAACCTTGTTTAATCTACAATCTACGAGTCCGTAATTCTGAAACTTGGTGTCCTTGTCCTGTGTGGCATGTATATTCTCGGTGAGTTTGCGAAGAACCTTCTCCTCGGTGTCGAGCACAGTCTGCACCTTCGAGACAATCTTGTGACTCTGTTGTTTGTCCCAACGCTCGCTCGCCGATCTTGTGAACGCGTACGGCTTCTTGTAGACTTCTGGATTGAAGAGCTCCGACGTCTTCACGAAGGACGAGTCCCCGGGGTCGGCCGACAGCGTGGAGTTGAGATCGTCGTTAGACTCCTTGGGCCGCTCTTTGAATTTCATGCTGCTATATGAGTTAAGTCTATTAGAAGACGACTGTTTTGACGAATGATTCTTCGAGCGCGTCATATCTCTCGGCTTCTTCTCGAGTTCCTTGACTTTCTCATGTGAATCGGCAAGTTGGAGGCCGTTCCTCGGTTTCTCCGTTTTCACAGACTCATTTACTTGAACGACGCTATTTCGTCCACCTTCAAGCGAATGATCTTTCTCTTGAGACTCCCGAAATTCGGACGTCAATTTCCGCCCGACTTCCTGAAGCCTCTTGTTTACGTTCCGCAGGTCCTGTTGCTTCTGCTCACGTTCTACCTGCCTCTGTTTGTCCTGCAGTGACCTTTCCCTGATTCGGATCTCTTTCTCTCTATTGAACAGCTGTCTTTCTCGGTTCTGCAGGTTGATCTCTTTCTCTGCCACGGCGGCTTCGCGCTGCCGCAATGCCTCGATTTTGCGCAACCAGTTCTCCTGGAAGATCTCCCCGCTGACTTCCTCGGGCGACGGGATCGTCGCGGTGCAACCGTTCTTGAAGCCGTGTTGACAGAAATCGCTTATTTTACTATCGGCATTTGAGGAACTTTCGCTTCTCTCATCGATCGACATTAAACTGTTGAACCTTTTGAATTGTCTTACAGGATAAAATGAGTCATGTGATTTGGTCAACATTTGATATTCTATTTTTCGCATATCAAGATACTCTTCAATGTGAATAGGAACATTTTCCTCGTCGTTTTGATACTTGAAGTCATCATTCTCGGGCCGTTTATCACATACGATCTCTCTGTTACTTATCACACTTTCCATGCTTTTTATATCGGTCGATTTGCAATCACTGTCCCGCACGAAATATTCCATTGATTTCACGCATTTTCGTCCATACGAGAGCGACGACGTATCCTTCGGGTCTTGTCGCTTCTCCTCACACGTGTTTTCGTCGATGACTCCTGGCTGACACGTTAGTTGAATGCCGTCGTCGAGAGATGAAATCTTTTGTGTCGGGAACTTGTTTACATCAGGTACGATGTACGTTTCGATTCTGTAGAGAAGCGGTTTCATCGGCAACATAATGTCGAACAAGTCTTGTCGATTCCTCAGAACATCTATGAGTACAAGTTTCCTGTACATAGTAAAAATATAATTTAATTTATCAATATCATTTATCAAATATCATTTAATTATTAGAATACAGTAAATAAAAAAAATTTATAATTTTATATATAACGTTATTAAATGTACTATTATACACAGACTTAAAGTGACGATAATGACATAAATATAAATTATTGTATTCTGTCATTATTAAGGTTCTAATACAAAGTTATATGTATTGGAATATTTATTTGCTAATTGTTAGATTGTTCTATCAACAATGATAATTATTGAGATGCGATTAAAAAATTCGATTTTTTCAGACCTCATGTCTCAAGCTTTCAAATTATGTTAATATTAGAAAGTGGAAATTTATTTATAATATTGTTACAACGTTCGTTATTATAATTAATTTACCTTTAGAAAATCGATAATTGATAACAATGTAAAAAGAATATATTTTATACCTTTTATTTATGATCTAAGAGAATATTTACTTTCAATGTTTTCACAACACCGAAATCATCGTGCTTTCGTAGAGCAGCTTCCCGTTACTCCCAACGTTCTCGCGTTCTTATTCAAACTGAGCTGCTGGACCAATGTCTGTCTGGGGGAAGTTATGTGGAAGCAACCCGGCGTCTACTTGCGTTTTCTGCTGGCTGGTCATTCCGTCGTGCTCGAGGTCCGATTCGCTCAGTCAGTTTTAAATCTTTACTCTATTGGACCAAGTGGCTGGTTTTCTACCTGCAGTATCAATTGTGTGTATCGTAGTTGTGCGTTATATACACTCTCACTTGCACATTCTTGACGAAGCGTTTGACTGCTGAGAAAAAAGCAGCGCTTTGTCAGAAAGGAAGGGTAGAATGATTTATAAGTATGCTTAGCTCGCGTTCGCTATACCAACGTCACACATGTGATGCAACGATATCTCACAAGAGACCGAGCGTCATGTATGTGTGATAGCTAATTTTTTGTTCTATTTCCACATTGTCGAGCCAAGGTTAAGTTCGTCTTGCACGCTTTCGTACTGAAAGCATCATTCTATCTTTACATGCTCATTACATGCTGAAGGAAGATAGAACGATGCTTTCAGTAAACGTATAAAACCAATTTAGCCTAATCGGTTTTGTACAATTATGTAAAACAAGCGAACGTGTTAATGACATACTAAAGTTAATGACATAATAATGAGATAATAATCTAATGTGTTAATGACATACTAAAGTTAGTGACAATAATCGACTTGGAAATTGAAAATATGATTATGAAACATAAATCAGTCAAAGTTTAACTGCAGTTAGTACAGCGCAAATGAATTGTTAAATGTTAAAAATGTTAAAAATTTATTGTTTTGCCGAATGTTTTGTTTTTACTTTGGTTTTGTGCTATTCTCAATGGCGAATCTGAAATTTATACAAAAGACCAATATTATTAAGTTAAACTTGGAAACATCAAAGGATATAGAATATTTTATGAAGTTTAATATAATAAAAATTGATAGAAAATGGAGAGAGAGTTCCATGTATTTATACAAGATAGAATAAAATAAAAATAAAAGAAAAGTATGTATACAGTTTTATATCTGTATACAAAAATTATTAAATATACAACAATAAATTGAATGCACAAGTAATAGTTTGTTGAGTATAGAAAACTTATTCACATATAGCAAATGCTTGGGTAACTAAAAATTTCGAATGACAATTTTATTTGGTTAATTTATTATTTACTCTTTCTCTCCTTTTTAACAACCTCGTTTCTATTTTCTATCATATATACGTGAGATATGTTTTCAATTATTTTATTATCTGACATTTAATTACTTCATCAAATGATTTATCAGTTCTTATCCGTTATCGCCGAATCATTCAAAAAGCGATAAGCGATTTGAAATGATCCGCGAAAAATGACGGGCACTTGAAAATCACCCACGACAAGCTGGTAATAATTAATTTTCCAGATTGTTTCCTTGCGTAGGATATTTTCTAGTACACTTTGGGATCATCTCTAGAATAGAAGGAAGTTCTAGAAACAAACACTGAATTCAGCCACATTTTCTTAGACTACCAGATGGCAGCAGCTGCACATTTCCTGGACAACCAATTCTGGGTGAAAATTATCCCAACATATGATAACCTATTGGGGGACACTGCAACACATCGAAAATATTCAGTCACTAATTTATATACTAGAAAATACCATTCCCTGGCACAACCTCGTGCGCTTTATTGGACCGTTTGGTGAGTGCGCGCGCATATCGACGAGAAAGTGTATTACGCACGTCCGCCAGTGATGTAGCTAAATATGGGTGACGGTAGAATGTTCCGACAGCAAAATTTCTTTGGATGGCGATATTACGACAAATATCATATCTAATGCTCATAATTTAAATAGAAAAAAATCGAGTTTTCCGTTGTGGGATTAACGATAGCCTGTCGTTGCGTACCTTCGTGTGCTTGAATCGGGAATTTGGCACCTCGTCTTCTAACAGTGGTTACGGTCCTGCGCTGTGCCGCCATTTTGTGCGCAAACGAGAAGACAACGCAGTCCCGTGAAGGGCGAGCTCACTTTCGTGGCATTTGTAGTTTCATCCGCCATTTAGCTAGGGAGCTGAACTGTAGCTAGGGAGTCAACAGTGATACTAGGCGAGGCTAGAGAACGATCCTCTTGGCTCGGAATTTGGCATCCCCAGCGCGAGACACCCCAGAGTTATCCGACGTGTTTCCATCATAAGAAAAAAAACTATTTAGTGATTTTGCACCGCAATTTTGGATGTTTCCGTGGCGGGTGCATCATTGAGCGGTAAAATCACGTTCGAATGTCCAGGCATCATGGAGAAAACGCCAACGATCATCGCCACTAGCGGCGTCTGTACGGTCAGTAAGCTGTATCCCACACCACAGCGATTGACGCCGACGGGGAAGATCAGCCATGCTAAGACTCGTGTGTACACACAGCGCTATCGTAAGGAATGGGAGCAGATGCCAGACTTCAAAGGTATATGCTCATTTTCTACACTCGTGTCTGTGTATACAACGCATACACACATGCACACATATATACGCGTTAATTACCCTTGCTCCGAATAATTATTCGGGCCTCCTCCAGCTGTTCTAAAATCGATCATACTCACAGTTTATTAACCGATTCGGATCTGGTGATTAAATCACACTATTTCTGATCTTTTCCATGTCTACTGCCTGCCATACGGATAGTATGGCCAACTCGGCCGTGATCAAGGCTAGTGCTAACGTAGTAGAATACGTTGGTATGACCGCACTTGCCTTTCTTTCTCTTTTCATGTAGAACATGGCGATATGACGAAGGCGTAATAAGAAAGTACAAAGTGTTATACCTCAGCTGCACCTTTTGTACTTTCTCGCTACTTTCTTCCACCAGTTTTTAAGTAGTAGATTTGATTATGTAATCTGTTACTTTTGAAACAGATAATTTTCTTTGCAGATAAAAAGAAAGTATACCTTTCCCTTCCTACTGGAAAAAATAATGAAAAATATGTAGATAGAAAAATATTTTTTATGGAAATAGAAATTTTATAAAGAGAAGAAAGAAGCACAGAGATATCTATAAAGCTTGGTCTACAATGTGCTATTTGCTTCCTATTTCTTTTTCTTTATCTCTCTTCGACTCAAATCTTAAGTCTTAAACTAAAAAAAAACAAGAAACAGGAAGCAAAGAGTACGTTGTAGATTAGGCTTAAAGAATAAGAGAAACATAAAGAGAAATAGATACTTACAAATGAACAGAGAAGATCATTGTATGAGCTTCTTATAAATGATATCTATAAAATATTGGCAGTTGTAATGAATTTCCATATAAAAATGTCTGTAATGTTTTAAGTTACATTAGGTGTTGACTATAAACTGTAGTATTACGTAATAATAAACTTAGGTCATCATAAAGAAAATTGTAACGTAAAACATGACATTGTGTAATTGGTCGTATTATATGAGATAAGTATATTAAATTATCAAGTATTATATATTAAATCAATGTATATTAAATTAATAGATAATTCTATTAAATTATTTTATATAATGAAAAGGAAAATGAGAGATAAAAATATTCAACTTGTTAAATTAATCTTACCAAATTTTTATTACTTTTCCTACGTTATAAAGCTTTTTAAATTCAGTTATTGCAATAACTAAACCCATATAGCACAAATGTATATAATATATCCTATAAACGTTACATAGAGATATCACACATCCCTAGGATATCTTTGGAATATTTTGGACGTCTGGAATGTATGTTATACAGGAATAAATAAACAGTATATTATAGAAAAAACAAAAAAATTTGGTAAGATATTAACTTATCAAATTAAAAAAAAAGGTAATTATGAAGTTTAACATCACCACCTCCGATTTTGACGAAACTAGGTTTAATCGACGCGTTTTTTTTAAAAGAAACAACTTTTTCCTCTAACAAAATCGTCGCTCTCTTCCGCGAAGCGAGATATTTAGCGTTAAAGTTAAGAGCTCACTAGGTTAGGAAATCTGTCACACTGAAAATGATACGACAGTCTTTCGTTAGTAAGTATTGCAATCTCGAACGACTAGAGGGGGGCTGCACCTCCCGCATCTCCCTAAAAACTAACCTAACCCAACCTATCGTCACATTAAGCGTCAGTTATTGTTTATTAGTGTTCAACTTTTGTGTTAATGTGACGATAGGTTGGGTTAGTTTTGAGGGGGGTGCGGGGAGCGCAGCCCCCCGCTAGACGTTCGATATTGCAGTTATTATTCAATATTGCTCGTTAACGGTACACAGTTTCGAAAAATTGTGATATATTTTTCGAACTTCTTTCATCAATAACTTTTTAACAAATAATGAGCGACGGCTAAAACCTTCTGAGAGTTATTCAGGAGGGTGACCTCTACAACAAATGTCAAGGTCAAGGTAATCGGAGAGTGGTCCGTTATTCTGTATAATTACCAAAAAAAATTTGTGTTTCTATTGAGTGTATTATTTCTTTTGCATGGGTTTAAAGCTTCTTTAATTTTTCTAGCTATGTGACTGGGGGGCTTCGCCCCCCAGACCCCCCGCACCGCGTGGAGCCACAGTCTTTTGTGAGAAATTCACTCTTTAGCTTAAGCACATGAGACTGCGACTCCTATCCCGCCGCGGTGCGGGGCAAAGCCCTCCAGTCTCACAGCTAGAGATAGACGGTATGACAGATTTTCTAACCTAATACGCGCTCAGATTTGTCTATTAATATCTCGCTTCGTAGTAGAGAGCGACGATTTTGTTAGAGGAAAAAGTTGTTTCTTTTAAAAAAAACGCGTCGATTGAGCCTAGTTTTGTCAAAATCGGAGGTGGTGGTGCTAAACTTCATAAGTACAAAAAAAAAATATATATCTTCTCATAAAATATTTGATATATACACTTCATACCACTTTATAAATAATGAAATGCCTGATCACACATAATCATGTTCTTGTTATATTATGATTTATTTTGTGCTTTGATCCAAGTTTACTGTTACGTATAGATTTTAGTTTATTGTTACCCAAGTTTACTGTTACGTATAGATTTTAGTTTACTGTTACCCAAGTTTACTGTTACGTATAGATTTTAGTTTACAGTCAAGCAGACGTTTTTGTCTTTAATGCTTATATTGATCATAGAGATTAATAGATGCGTTCAACGAACTCAACAGCTGCACAATAGTTGAGCAATTCGTCAATGTAATTGGTCTACATTTAGAGATCTTACAGTAAGAATCAATAATCGCTGATTGCTCACTGAGCGCTTTTGTCGCTGAACGCGCCCAATGATTACAATTGAACCAATCAGGTAAAACAGAATCAACATTGAAGTTACCTGATTGGTCTGATTGTAATTCATAATCTAATGACGGCATAAAGACCGCATTACACTAGCGATTAACGATTGGATTGCGATCAACGACTACTTTTCTACCAATCACAAAGCAAAACAATTATCGATTAAAATTAGTGACTGCCAATTTTTGGCAATGGTTTATTTTATAATCGTCAATCACAATCTAATTGGCACAAGTCAGTGTGATACGGGCTTAAAAGTCTGCAGGAGCCAAGAGTAAAGCCAGGGACCCGATTCTTGACGGTATGCGAATGAGATACGCATGCGAAAATCTACAGTATACGTAACGTGAACTATACATTTTCGCATGCGTATCTCATTCGCATACCATCAAGAATCGAGCCACAGCAGTACACGGTGCTTGTTTTCGTGCTAGTTTGCTTGCTGGGTGGAAATACTCTGTTCTGATTGGTGCATTTCTGAAGGTTAATGGAAATGCACCAATCAAAATAGAGTATTTCCATTCAGCAAGCAATCTAGCCCAAAAACAAGCACTGTATACCATTGGCTTAAATCCAGATTAAGATCGGTTTATGATGACCGTAATCCGTTAACTTATGCCGGAACCGTAAAAAATTGACCAATCACAGTTGATTATTCTTCTATAATTCGACTGATTGGTCAATTTTTTACGATTTCGGCATAAGTTAACGGATTATGGCTATCATAAACCGGTCTTTAGAGTCACTCTAGGTTGCATTCAAAAACGAGGAAAATTTTACTCAATATCTATAGTTCACGTTACATATACTATAGAATAAAATTTCCTCAAAAAGAAATACGTTTAGAAATACAACCCTAATCAGAATTTGACCATAAGGAAATAACTTTTAATTGGTCCGCTATGTTTCGTCAAATCCCATACAATATCTAATCACAGTATGTTCATGGCAGTAGCTTAGGTTAGGTTAAGAAAAGATAGACAAAGAGAAATATTTTCAATCTCTCTCTTTGTCTATCTTTTCTTAACCTAATCTAAGCTACTGCCATAGGCGTACTGTAATTGGATATTGTGGGATTTGACGAAATATAGTGAACCAATCAAAAGTTATTCTCTTGTGGCCACACTCTGCTTAGGCTGCATTCGGGGAGATGCTATTTAGCGCTATGAGCGACCTCTGTCCTTGTTCAATTTTCAGGAACAAACAAGGACAGATCACACTTATAGCGCTAAATAGCGTCTTCCCGAACGCAGCCTTATGATGGGCTTTCTACAATAAGCCGTTAGTCATAACATATAATGCATAGCACATAAGGCATAAAAGAATCCACCAATCAGAATCCTTCATTTTTATTTTGAAGGACTGCAATTGGTGGATTTTCTTATGAGTTATGCGTTATGCGTTACGATTAACATTGGTATTTAGCCAAATTTTAAGTAAACTACAGAGAAAATCGTAATATGATTGTGATATTCATAATCAGGAAAATAATCCCACGGGTGCGACAGAGCGTTTTTTGGGAAAAAGAGTTGAAAAAAATGGTCTAAATTATTGTGAGTGAACATTAGATTGAGATGCAATACGAGTCTATATTTTAATTAAGATTTTTTAAAAGCCTAACGCTAAAATCGGGCTCTGTAGCACCCTTATGGCTCCTGCACACAGAACGCGGCAACGCTTGCCGCGCGGCGGAAGTTCGTACGACAGCCAAATATGCTGCCTTTCGTAATAACCTTGTAGCTTTCACAGAAAAACAACATATTGATTGGCTGTTGCACGAACTTCCGCCGCGCGGCAAGCGTTGCTGCATTCTGTGAGCAGGAGCCATTAGTACTAACGTAAGAAAGATATAAAAAATTGTTTGGTGAGTAATATAATATATATGAGACAAACTTTGGTGAGTACAGATATTATAGAAAGTGTAGTATAACTGCATTTTAGTTCAGATAACTCGACCCAATCTTCCTGTTCTTACGTTCGCGCGAACAATATGCTTGTGTGGGCGTGTATATAGACATAAACTTACATACAGAGACAGAAGTTTCGGGCTCTCCTTATATGAGGTCTCCAAAGTCAACTCAGAATTTGTCTACGACTTCTGTAGACCCTAAAGGCCCTTGCATAATGCCAGGCCACAGACAATAAGAATAGGCATTAGCCAATAGGAACGGGAAATAGAAATAATTGACTAATCCGAATTTCTATTCCCTGTTCCTATTGCCTGGCATTTTGCAAGGGCCTTTAATGGCTTATTGTAGAATTGGCTTTGGAGCACAGATGTCTATACTAAACTAGATTGCTAACAGGCTATCTAAAAGCATATAATAGCTTGTGTCCGATAGAGTTTCCGGTCCATGCGAGAAAATAGCCGCCATATATTTTCATTACGTTTAGTCATAAAATTCTTTTTTTGTTGAAAATGAGCAGGGTAAATAACATCCAATACTATCTATTTTTTTTGTTATGACATTTTTTGATGCAATAAGATGCTGGCATTTTTGATTTTACGATAGTAATTTAATGGCCACGCTGACTCACTTGTACGTTGTAAGTACTCACACAAGTGATACGTCATATACCAACGTCACACACACAGGACTGCCGCCATTTTCTCGCATACAACCGGAAACTTTACGTGATACACGTTCGAAGCCCTTGTCAACAATTTAGTTTAGTATAGACATTTGTGCTTTGGATGGACTCTAATCCATAGACTTTTATATACTACTAGACTGCTAACTTCGACTCAGTACATAACCCTGAAAAATATGTACAGAAATCTCGCGCATGCGCCTATCTGGTGGCCCAACATTCACAATGTAGCATCTCGTTTTAGGCATTATTGCACTCTGATGTAAGTATACAATTAATCATTTTTTTTTTACAAATTTTTTACTGTAACATATTTCACTGTGACGTTTTTCACTCTGTACGTACACAAATATTTAAGCAGGCGGCATTGGCTATATTACATTTATATCTCCTCTTCTTCTGGAACACCAGTTTCAGGCATGCGCAGATGCCTTTTTTCCCGTGCGTGATACGGGAGCGTCCCAATTGATCACGATACGATTGGACACCAACCGATGCAAAAAATTATCTAGTGAATTACCAGGTCGAATCAATCATTACAATCTGTGTCCAATCGTACCGTAGTCAATCGGATCCCAGCCGCGTGATACATACTTTTCGGAGTCAATTTTACATAGCAATATATAAAGGATATATAAGAAGCAGTTTTATATAAAGGATATATAAGGAGTAGTTATATAGAAGTCTGCTCTAATCCGGATTTGACTTTGGAGACCTCGTGCGGCGAGAACGCGAAACACTGTTTGTGGAGGTGTATGTCCATACACACACGAATACTAATGCATCGCTCGTGCGGTTGCAAGTTAGTGCAGCTGAGCTACACTTTCCGTAGTATCTGTAACTCGACATATTTTGCCTCATAGATATTACATTTGTTCACCAAATAATTTTTTTATGTCTTCCTTGCATTAGTACCAAGGGTGTTACAGAGTCCGATTTTGCGATTAAGCTCTTAACAATTTATAATAAATTAAAATATAGACTCGTACTGCACCGCAATTGAATATTCAAATAATTTAGACTATTTTTCAACTTCAACTTCCTTTCCCAAAAAATGCATCCTTCGGATTATTATCGTGATTATAATTATCACAATTATATGGCGATTTTCTCTGTAATTTCTTCAAAATTTTGTAAAATAATGTTAGTTCCGGAGTCTTCCGGATATTTATATATTGGCAAATCATTTTGCCAATATATTGGCAAAATCATTTTGCTATTTCTAAATTTATATCTATGTTCATTCAAACTCATATTCTGAACTTTCTTTTATCGAAAAATGCTTGTAAAAATGACTTATAATTTTTTTAAAGGTGCTGTTATGATAAGGTAGAGTTCAGAATATAGACTTTAATATTTCATGTAATGATTTGTATATAACTAGCCTTTTGAGATTTTGTATTAATCAAGAAATTGAAAACTATAATAAAAACGCTAGTAAAGACAGAACCTAGTAAACACAAAGTATCATCCATATTACAATGTGAGCTCAATTGTATGGTATATTATGTAACTGTTACTTTGTTGTATAACAAAGTAACGTAATACATCATATGATTCATCTGACGTTGTAACATCGATGATACTTTGTGTTTGCTGGGAAGGTTAGTGTATCTATGAGAGATAAAAAAGCGAATGATTTAGACATGTATGTGATTGGCGCTGATTTTAGAATATTTTCGTTTCAGGGTGGCTGACTTCGATGCCACTTCAGCCAACTCGTGCTTTCTGTAAGTATTGTAAGAAGGATCTTCACGCGCACCGGTTATCTTTGTTGAAGCACACGTGTACGATGAAGCATCAGCGCGCCGCTCTGCTGATCAATCCGGACAAGAAGACTACAGAGAATCTTCCGACAGAACAGGCGGAAGATAACGATGATGACAGCGAATATGTTGTCGAGAGATTGGATTTAGACGAGGACGATACAATACAGGAGAAATTAGACGTGGAACCTTCGGAAGTAACTATAGATGAAATAGAGCAGAAAGAATCAAGCGACAATCTTTGCTTGCAACTGCAACTGTCTGATGAAGAGGAACACAAACCCGTAATTAAGAAGATCGAATTATCCGAGGTATGCAATTTGCGTATTATTCGTATGCGCTGCATTTGCATCTCATGAAGATGAACATGTCTTTGAATCTTTAATTATACAATAAACAAGTTTGCATATACCTTTGAAAGGAGAAGGACGCACTGGCCGAGGCAATGGCTCACGTTCACGGCGAGTATCTCGAGATGGAAGAGGAAGATGAAAACAACGTCGAGTTGGAGATGGTGGTAGAGGAAGAGGCACTTAACCCCGAAATAGAGGTAATATTACCTGATGTGATTACCGATGAAATTAAAGAGAAGTCGAAGGAATTCGAGACCGGGAAGACTCCGCGTCATATGGAGTTGAAAGCCGTTGACAAGAAGTCAGCAAAAAAACTCCTTGTAAGTGGTATCTGTGAAAGATACATGTAGTTTAGGATGAATTTCTCGAGTCTTGGTGTTCTTCCCTGGTATTCTTAATGTTTCCCTTGTAATTAACGTTATAGGATATATGTTCCGTTTTGATCAGTATGTCTAGGACGTTAAGATATGACGTATTGAAAATCCTTCATTTTCCAATAATATGACGAATTTTGCGGGTTAACTCGCGCAACTAACGATTACTTTTGACTTCGACAACAGACAAACAATAAGGGCGATGTAATAGTTGCATCTTTACCTGTACTGGAGACGACGTATCAATTGAACAACTCGATATCATCGACTCAGGACGGCAACATCATACCGGCTACGAGTACTCCGAACAGAACCATTACTCTGACGTCTGGTGGCAAGACATTAACTTTGACTGGCGGCACATTCCAACCAGGCACGCAATACGTCCTGAGTAAGATCAAGGGTAGCAAGTTGCCCACATTGATGATGGCTGACAACAAGAAGCCCATCGTCGCCATAAACCAATCCGATACCAGCAAAACTGTTCAACTAACCACCATGTTAGAGTCGGCGACTACTCCCAGCACTAGTCAACAGTCGAGTAAGAAGGTGAGAAATGAATGAGCTTATTCAATATGTCGAATATCGATAAATCTACGATAATATGAGAGATTAAGATTAAGTTAAATATCCTGGTGAAAAAAAAACGTTTTTCGTTTATTCTAGTCGTCTTCGTTGAAAACGAAAATTATACCGAAAAGATTGCATATTTCTACTCACGTAGTGGATATTACCAAAGGCCTACCAGTTAGTGGCTTGCAAGTCAGTCTATACAAACTGCTGGATGGCAGATGGACATTTATGAACGAAAGGTATATGATTTTTCCCACCGAGCGCGTTTATCGCCTGCCACATGGCGTGATCTTCAAGAGAACATTTTCTTTTCAGCAACACTAATGCGAATGGACGTTGCATTGATTTGTTGGAACACAGCGCCAAGTCGGGCAACATGGCAGGCCGCTACAAGATCCACTTTGATGTTGATAAGTATTTTACGTTGAGGCGAATAGAGACCATGTATCCATTCATCGAGATTGTGTTTGACGTGAAGAATCCGCTCGGCCATTATCACATCCCCATTTTATTGAGTCCTTTCGGTTATAGTACATATCGCGGCTCTTAAAGCTAATTTCCCGTTGAATATTTTAGAAACTGTGAAGTAAAATGTTTCATCATATCGTGAAAGTTTACTTCAAAAATATTAATTATTTCTTACGAACATAAAATAACATGTAAAATATAACATTACACAATCTACTAAGATATCAAGTTTGCTTTTACAAGACTAGGTTTTTGCAAATCTCGAATTATTCAAGTCTCAGCACATGATGAATTATTCAAGTTATTCTACTAAATATATTCGTACCTAGACAACATAATGTCTAAAATCGGGACATAAATATAATCTTTAAGACGCCTTAAAGACATTTATACGTAAATCGTTTGAAAGACATTTTAAAGACGATCTTTAAGACGTCTTATGTCCCGATTTTAGACATTATGTTGTCTGGGTATATAATGTATACTATTTTGCGCTTATGGATAAGTTTATCCCTGCTATTGTTGTGCGTTAAATTATAAAATTTCCTCAAATTTTTGTCATAAGATTTTATTAATGTTTATTTTCATTGGGATTTATTTTCATTTTGTTGAAACCCTATATTGCTTTTACATAATACTAAATTTGTTTGTCTGCTTTCCATAGTTTCTCTTTAATCATTATAAGAAATATATTGGATGTCCGACACGACGCATATGTTCTCTTGTGTGCAAGTAGAAAATCGTCCAACGAAAAATCTCTATTTTGCGATGCGTAAAGAGCTCGTTCTATCGCATCACGTGCACTTATTTACTCTGATTTTTTATCATTAATATCTCAAAAATTCACATGGTTGTTTGTAGAATAATAGAGGACATTTTTGTTTGATGAATTCTACTTATACATGAGAGGATATATGCGTTACGTCGGACATTCGGATGTGTAAAATGTGAGTTATTTAAATTTAGTTGCTAAATACGTGTGATTTTTGTGAAACTACTTGTACGAAAAATAATCCATGGCCGTTATGTGACAAATATTTAATTTTAGGGATGAGATGCACATGAAAATTACAAAACATAATAGTCTATGTAAGGTTATATTATTCTAATATGAGTAAGATAGAAAATAAATGCTGATAATATTAATATTGTACGGAAACAAATAGTAAAAACTTCGCAAATTTTAAGTATCCTGAAAAAGAATCTAAAGTATTTCTAAAATGCTTCTAAATTGGTAATAATATTCTTATAATAAGTCTTAAGAAAGATTTTTAATGGAAGAATAAGAATAAGAAGTATATATAGAATAAGAAGTATGTATAGAATAAGAAGTATATATAGAATAAGAAGTATATATAGAATAAGAAATAGAATAAGAAGTCACAAAGGCAACAATGGCCGATATGTTGTGATGCGATGAAGTTTTTAGAGGACCAAGAAGTCCTAATTATATTGTTAAGTGTTAACATATATATATATATATATATATATATATATATATATATATATATATATATATATATATATGTCATATTTTTAGTATATAAGTATTCAAGTATGAAAATATTAATAAACTCCTTAACTCATTAACTTTCCGAAATATTTTACAAATTAACTCGTATCTTTTTATTTTAATGTATATATATTTTGCAAAAGTTTTGTACTTATATATTTCTACTTTTCTGACATAAATTAGCTCCCGTATTAAAAGTATATATAAAACTCACCGTCTCTTCTCGCATGTGACTTGATTAAAACGTAAATGTTCGTGTGCTAAAACAAAATATATTTTTCTATTAAATCCCAATTTTTTAAATTCTGATGTTTCGTGTCAAATTGTTATTTCTTACAGATTCGTAAACAATTTCAAGTTGAATTAGCTTGGTAGTTCAAACTTCTAAAAGACATCTTAAAAAGTTAGACGTTTATTAGACATCTTTATTCTTACGGAAAAGAACTACAAAAAAAACTATAAAAAGCTGAGAACAATATAGGAAAATTATAGAAAACCTATTTTATATTATAATTTTATAAATAATTTTACTATAAATTTTTAATAGTTTCCGTTATTTTCATTAATCAACGAAAATGCTATTGTTCTCAGTAGTTTTCTTATATTTTTCATAAGGGTAAGATGTTTTTAAGACATCTTTTAGAAATTTCTGTTACCTGAAAAGTAAGTGGCTGCTTGAGTTTTGGGCGCCTATCAAAATAGATTTTTTTCATTTTTAATCTTCTTTTGCGAGAAGAAATTTGACGAAGTCAAATATGTAATCCTTAAAATCTTGTATGATGTAGATATACGATCTCATGATTAATTATTAATTCTCATTTCTTGAGAAAACAAAAAATGTAGATCCAATTTAAAATAGCGCTATTTCAGAATTTGAGCATTTCGAATTAATTCGGTATCATTAATTTTTCGAGTTGTCACCTAAGCGAATTGTTAGTTTTTGAATAGCTTTCGTACAACTACATAAGAATTTATACTTTACAACTTTTATACAACTTTTGTACAACGTTCTATATCTTATAACTTTACCCACATACATGCAAGCCTATAAATATAAAATATAAAATTACAAGAATCTCTAATTTAATTGAAATATAAAAGAAAATATGTAATCGATATTAAAACAGTTATGTAATGTTAGTACGTCACTACTAATTAGCACTAAATGTGTGTCCTTTTTAATCGTTGCATGTATTTACAATATTTAATAAATATAATATTATACCAGATAACAAATTTAATAGAGGCAAACATTTAGCGCTAATTGTATATTTATTTAAATTTATTCAACTGTATTACTCATTAGATCAATACTGAAAATGTAAATTCTTTGCATTTTGGACAAAATTATTTACATTTCTTCATCCGACAGATAGTACTCTGATTTTGTTGACTTTGACATTGCGAATAATTTGCTGGTGTTTCTATTACAGCAACGTGAGCACTTTTATTTATGCACGTGAAAATAACATCCACGACGCTTCACACAGTGCGTGTATTCAGTACTGTAACCATTCACTGAACACTCAGTGAGCTCTTGCATTTCTCTCGAGAGGAAACGCCAATAGAGTTACACGTGGCCAGCTTACTTTGTGATTGGCTAGCATAATTTCAACTTGCATATATACGTATATACGTATATACTTTCTACTTAATTATTTATATAAATTTTACACATTAACTTTTTACTTATTTCTCTTAATAAATTTTTGGCAACTATCAAACTAGTGAATGGTGAGGCATTTGCAATGTTGAATGTATGATGGAAACATGAGCTCTCACGTCATGCAATACATGAGTATGTTCTGTCTATCGAGTGCATCAAATATCGCGATGCACAAATCCCTGTGACAGTGAAAATGCACGATGTCACATTGTATCACGAACAATGTGCAAATGTCGTGAACTTACAGGAGGTTCTTGCTAATGATAAGCACGCTCGTCGAAAACATGGTAATATTTTTCGCGCGCGCGTGCTGCGAAGATTCTCTTCTATCAAAATTTCACCGAGCATCGATACATCACTTGCGGTTTCGATAGTTCGAGAACGAAACATTGCGATAGTCGTATACCGAGGTGAGATTCTTTGCCGTAGTAAAGTACAAACACTGAAACTCAAAGTCCATAAAACTTCGAATAATATTCGCGTCGTTGCATATTTATCGTTACTTCCAGAGATTTAAAATAATTTATAGCAATTCGAATTTTTGATTTTCACAATGGCTCGCGCGCGGCTTACGAATCGTCGCACCTCGAATAATATTCCTGCATCGGGATTCTTATTACGAGGAAAGACGAACGTCGTCGTGTTCATCGAGAGTTTGCGTTTTTGTCACCGATCAGTTTGCACGAAAATGTTATGCGAAAATGCGCCTAGAGACACGAATCCCCAGGTTCGTTAATGCGGCGGTAGATAGCTGCGATCGACGTTAGACGACGGCGACTTCGGCGGCAAGTACGTAGTGCCGCCTCCTGGTCCCAGTACTCTTGGTTTCGGTACTGCGACATTGATGCGAGATGGTGTTATACCAAGTGCGGCGGCGCCCAGCCTGAAACCGGCTCGATTCCCGTTCTCGTCCGCGACGTAACTGTAAAGATCGATAATTAGTGTTTTTTATCTTCTTGACATTTCAGTGTATCTTTGTACTGATGTGTCTAATAGCGAATTCGGTTGCTTGCACTAGTGTGCACTGAGTGCGCACTAAGGCTTGTTCATAGTATGTTATTATATTTAAAGATTGTCTTAAATAATTCTCAAATAAATTCTCAAATATTTTTAACCATAATATGATATGTATAACATCCGTACGAATCATTTTATTAGTTAAAATGTTTTTAAATATGTATTTAAGACACGATCTTAAATATAAGAATGTACTGTAAACAAGCCTTAATGCGCACTCAGTGCGCACTAGTGCAAGCTACCGAATTCGCTATAACGTTAATGTGCTATGTACGAGAATGTACAGAACGCATATGGAAGTCGACGAAGAGTGTGTCGTGTTGCTCTTGCACAAATGTACTGCATCTTACGGGCACATACAATGTCATTAATATAACCGAGGAAAAATCATAAAGTGAAAGATCTTTTTAGTAAAATAAATATACGCGAAAGATCATCGCGATCTTTCGGGAATGGAATAGTTTTTAAGATGACTTTCAGTAAACTTCCATTAAACTCTTAATCGACGATTAAGTTAATCGGCAAAGTTGTCAAAATATAAAAAGAAGAGACAATTATTAAAACGAGAAAGATAATTCTCCTGTTCTCTTCTTATGTCTAAAATTGCTATTTGAGTCGATCCTTGCTGTCGTCTTTTTTCGCATGCGCGAGTGATGTTTGACGAAATGAAATTTCTTCATCGTAACAAAGGGTGCACATGGTGCATCCTTACTTAACAGAGACGGGGATTCCTTCGGGACTTTTGTAGGAGAAATGTCCTTCCACCACTCGCACCAATTCGCCGTCTACGACCTTGAAGCTCGCGGTCTCTTCCCTCTCGACGCCGTCTTCGTTGATGACGTTCGTGGAGATCGCCGGACTCGCGGCCGCACTTGGGCCCTCGAACGGTGGCTTCAGGATCAGACCTCCGGAGCCGCGGGCAAACAATGGCGCCTGCTGATCCGGCGCCAGTTTCTCGGCCGAGAAACACGCTGGGTACGACAGCAAACACCAGACCTACAAAAGTTCCAATTTATGTAGAAAACCGTATAATGTAATATAATATTACAATACAGCAATCTAAATATAATAATTGAAATTTTATAATATTAAGAATTTATCGCTAGAACGTCGAATCGGCTTAATACTAGAAGGGCCAAGGTAGTTAATTTGGCTTCTCGCAAAATTCAAACAGCTATAATTTTTTTCAATTTCTCTTCCATGTGATAACCACTTGTGACTTTTCATCATAATCTTAATTTTGATAAATAAAAAAATTAATTACATAAGATAATGTGTTGAATTTTTATTTAATTGTCTATCTAGAAGGACCGTTGGAGCCAATTTGGCTCCCTTATTTCTGATATTGCATTCACATATGTTTTACGATTTTATTAACAAGTTTTATGACTTTAAACAGATAAATAAATATTTTTATACATATATATCTATTGAAAGTCATCAAAACTTGTTAATAAAGTCGTAAAACGTATGTGAATGCAATATTAGAAGGGAGCCAAATTGGCTCCAACGGTCCTCCTACGTAAACAATTAAATGAAAATTCAACACACCATCTTATGTAATTAAATTTTTTATTTACCAAAATTAAGATTATAATGAAAATTCACAAGAGGTTATTACATGGAAGAGAAATTGAAAAAAGTTATAGCTGTTTGAATTTTGCGAGGAGCCAAATTGGCTACCTTGGTCCTCCTAGTGTTAAAAGATGAGAAGATTTTGTAGACACGAATTATATAAGACCCGCAATTATAATAGTATTTGCCTTCACCCTATATCTTTCTAGAGGTGATTGTGTGTGTAAATCTTAATTCGCACGACCCCCCGAAGAGACTCGTCGCGATGACCTCGCGAGAGCCGCGCGTTGGATAATCGGCAATCGCTATTCATCAAGAAGCGCGCGGTGCTGGCGGCTACGGCGGTAGTGGAGAAGATCCATCGGAAAAGGACACTTTCTACTCAATTGATGACCGCGCGCGGAGCTCGTGTTTTGTGAGCGCTTCGGGGCCTAATAACCGGCCGTATGCGCGATTGCGGGGCCCCTCGCGTAGGCGCGCCGGGATTCTTCGTGAATCGTGCGTGTGGTTTCGCAGCTAAGATGAACTTTCAACCCCTGATATGCGTTCTATACGCGGCGTCAGCATTGCGAGAGAGAGAGAGAGAGAGAGAGAGAGAGAGAGAGAGAGAGAGAGAGAGAG